CCCGCCCCAGTCCAAGTCAGGCCTGTCCCTACCAGGGGCCACACAAGACAGACAGGGACACACTCAGGGGACCACCAGTAGATGGCAGCTTAAACCCCCTAAGCCACACAATCCCAGATGGGCTACCCCAATCCTTGTCTGCTCTCTCTCCTCTCACTAAGAGGCTTTTTCTGCTTCCAGGGGTGTACCAGGCAAGAAGTGTGGGACCATATTGCTGACCGCAGAGGAGCTTAGCAATTGTCGGGTAAGGGCCCCGTGTTAGACCCAGGAGCGCCCTTCTTCCCCCAGACTCCTGAGTAGACAGCTTGATAGCTATGGGTGGACTTTTTGGTGTCAGCAGCCCAATTTCATCCCGCCAGGACATTGCCACCATGCAGCTATGTGCGAACAAGCTGGACAAGAAGGACTTCTTTGGGAAATCGGACCCCTTCCTTGTGTTCTACAGGAGCAATGAGGACGGCACGTGAGTCACTGCCACCAGGGCTCGAGCTTCGTGTGGGACCAGCACCTAAGTTGGGGGAGGCAGAAGCTCAGGAGTATTGAGCCCTGCCTCTGGACTCAGTCCTACCCCCAGAGCAGGTTCCAGTCCTCCTGCTCCCCTGCAGGTTCACCATCTGCCACAAGACAGAGGTTGTGAAAAACACGCTGAATCCTGTGTGGCAGCCCTTCAGCATCCCTGTGCGGGCACTGTGCAACGGAGACTATGACAGGTCTGCTCCACCATTAGCTGGGGAACAAGGGGACAAGGACCTGACCCCAGAGTCGTGGTAGAAGTGTCATCGTTTTGGAGGGTTCTTCTCAGTGGGACAGTTTTGGGCATGGAGCTTGGTGGATGGGGAGACAGATGGGTAGCCACGTGGATAGATAGATGGACTCTCCATGGGTGGATGGATAAATGGACTAGGTGGATGGGCAGATAAATAAAGGAATGACTCAATATATGGGTAGATGTTCAGATAGATAGATAAGCTGGTGAGTGGTTGGATGGGTGTGTGGCTGGATGTACAAGACAACTGCTGGGTTGGCAGAGGGACAGATGGATAAATGGGCAGCAGATGAATGAACAATTAGACTGATGGATGGATTAGAAGATGGACAGATGATAGGTGGATGAGTAAATAGATGAGCTGATAGATGGTAGATGTGTGTATGAGAGTTCGGTAGATGAATGGACAGGCAGATGGGTGAATGGAAAAGCAGGTGGAATAGAAAGGGATACATGGAAGGACAAGTGGATTGTGGATGAGCAGGTAAATGGATGGTATGGCAGATAAATGAATGGACGGATTAGTTGATGGGTAGGTAAAAGTAGATGGATAGTCTTACTAAAAGAAATAATGAATGGGTAGCATGAAGATAGGTGGGTAGGTAGAGTGGAAGGAAAGGCACTTTGGTGAAGATAGGTGGGTAGGTAGAGTGGAAGGAAGGCACTTTGATGAAGATAGGTGGGTAGGTAGAGTGGAAGGAAAGGCACTTTGATGAAGATAGGTGGGTAGGTAGAGTGGAAGGAAGGCACTTTGGTGGATAAGTAGATGGATAGTTATGAGATAAATCAATGATCAAGTGAACGAATGTTCTATGGTTGGGTGTGGATGGGGTAGATGAATAGACAGACAGTTGGGTGCCAGCAGGCATTAGTGAGTTAGTGAATGGCTGGATGTATAGTTGGATGAGTGGATAAAGAAATGGACTGCTAGATAATTGAACTGGCAAAGGTACCGGTAAGTGAGTAGCTAGATGCATAAATGGTTGGCTGAACCAACACATCACTAGAAAAACATATGGGATGACTTAGTAGGCATGGTAGTTAGGACTAAGGTCTTTGAAACCAGGATGTATGAGTTTAAATCCCTGTTCAGTCATTTACTAGTTCTGGGATCTTAGTCAAGTGATTTTTTTTTTAGTATCTCAATTTTTTTATTCAAAAAATAAAAATAACGAGGGACCAGCAGATGGCATGATGTTTATGTTACTAGACTCCCACATGGTTGATGGTGGTTCTAGTCCCGGACCTGATAGCTGAAATTCACACTGGGTCCCTGTGTGCGCGTGCTCAAGATCCTGAGAGACTGGAAGAGGGGGGATTGCAGTGTGGCCATCCCCCCTGAGGGGTGATTTCTCGCTTTCTGTTTATCTGTCTGTCTGGCAAGTGCACATGCCCTATAGCAAAAATCGCTCAATAAATAAATGGTGTTTACCTCATTTAGGGTGGCATTTAAATGAAATGAAATGTTCTGGGGAAGTTCTAAGATGAATGCCAGGAATACAGCAAGGCACAATAAGGGGGAAGGACAGCACCGTGGTGCTGATCGCCATGGCAGCAGTACCGGGGTAGCTGGTGGGGTACATACGTGCATAGATAGGGTGGAAAGTAGCCTGAAAGCTGGACCGGTCGACAGGAGGACTGATGGGCGGGTAGGAAGGTGATGTGTGTGGTTAAACTGAGGGGCATCTCTGGGATTTATCTCTGCCCTGCATTTCAGAACAGTGAAGATCGATGTGTACGACTGGGACCGGGATGGAAGGTAGACCTGCCCCAGACCATCGCCTCTCCTGCACTTAACCCAAACAGTTCCATATATTGTGTGGTACCTTCACTAGGAACCCTGTAGCAACACTGGTAGCCCCAGGAACGGTGATGACAGACACCAGGGTCTTGAGTACAACTGGCCCCCTCAGTTGTCTCCCTGGTACACCATCCTTCCTTTGTCTTCCCCATAGCCTGGCCCCAGCCCTTGTGCCCTGCAGCCCAAGTAGGGGTCAGGATAGGGACAATAAAAACTGGGTTCGGGCCTGACTCCAAGCCAGCAGCAGCTGCTGCTTCTCCGCTCCTGGCCTCATTGCAGCCATGATTTCATCGGCGAGTTCACCACCAGCTACCGGGAGCTGAGCAAGGCCCAGAACCAGTTCACGGTGTATGAGGTGAGAGCTCAGCCCAGCCCAGTGACCCAGGCCCTCTGACCCAGCACGCTCCATCTGCAGCTCCCGTCCTGTCCCCACATCACGGTTATCTTCCTCCACGTAGGTTCTTAACCCTCGGAAGAAGTGTAAGAAGAAGAAATATGTCAACTCAGGAACTGTGAGTGCTCCATGCAGCTCTGCCCTCCCAGGTCCCTGGACAGCATGGCAAATACTGGGGCAGGGGAAGGCAGTGGGCACAGAAATTTACACATGGTAATGTTGGGCAGAAGGTGGCACCACTCAGGTTTTTTTTTTTTTTTTCACTATAGGACATGTGTGCTTGCCAGAGAGAGACAGAAAAGAAGGGGATATAACCATGCTGCAATCCCTTCTCCTCCATTCTCCTCTTGGCGTTTTGGGGATGCACACACATGCACCTGGTGTGATTCTCAAGCCATTGGAGCAAACCGGCTGGCCACATGAGAGTCCAGCACCTTAACCACCCCACAACCTGTTGGCCTCATTTTCCCCCCTCATTCAGGAAATAAAAAATTATTTAATATTATTTATGAATATTACTAATTTTTTTTTAATTTGCTATAAGACACATGCACTCATCCAAGAAAAACAGAAAGAGGGAACGTGACAAAGCAAGCTGCCAGGTCTGGGACTTGAACTGCAGTCAGCCATGTGAGAGTCCAGCACCTTACCCACCATGCCACCGGCTGGCCCCCACCCAGGGGAAAATTTTTTGATCTTTACTCTTCAGCAGAATTTTAAAAACCACCCTGAGTTGCATTCCCCAATTGAATATTCTTTTGGAAATCCAAATATGTTTCTGGACTTAAACTTTTTTCTTGGAGAGGTTTTTGCTATAGGGCATGTGCGCTCTCCAGAAAGACAGAGAGAAACATAGAGACAGAAAGCGAGAAATCACCCCCCAAGGGGGTTGCCCACACCACAATCCCTTCTCCTCCATTATCCTCTCGGGATCTTGGGCACACACGCACACGCGCCCGGCGTGAGTTTACGCCTCCAGGTCCGGGACTTGAACCACAGTCGACTACATGGGAGTCCAGCAACATAGCCATTACGCCAATTGCTAGCCCCTGGACTTAACACTTTTTATCCCAACCAGACACTGAACAGGGTGGGACAGGTAGGGGTGGAACCACATGCATCTCTCCAAAACGCGATGTGCCTCTCTCCTTCCGCCACCCAAACTGCCCTTTCCAAAGTGGGAGGGCTGCCTCTTCTGCCCTACAGGTATGTGAGAGTCCAGCCCCTTACCCACCATGCCACCGGCTGGCCCCCACCCAGGGGAAAATTTTTTGATCTTTACTCTTCAGCAGAATTTTAAAAACCACCCTGAGTTGCATTCCCCAATTGAATATTCTTTTGGAAATCCAAATATGTTTCTGGACTTAAACTTTTTTCTTGGAGAGGTTTTTGCTATAGGGCATGTGCGCTCTCCAGAAAGACAGAGAGAAACATAGAGACAGAAAGCGAGAAATCACCCCCCAAGGGGGTTGCCCACACCACAATCCCTTCTCCTCCATTATCCTCTCGGGATCTTGGGCACACACGCACACGCGCCCGGCGTGAGTTTACGCCTCCAGGTCCGGGACTTGAACCACAGTCGACTACATGGGAGTCCAGCAACATAGCCATTACGCCAATTGCTAGCCCCTGGACTTAACACTTTTTATCCCAACCAGACACTGAACAGGGTGGGACAGGTAGGGGTGGAACCACATGCATCTCTCCAAAACGCGATGTGCCTCTCTCCTTCCGCCACCCAAACTGCCCTTTCCAAAGTGGGAGGGCTGCCTCTTCTGCCCTACAGGTGACGCTGCTCTCCTTCTCCGTGGACTCCGAATTCACTTTTGTGGATTACATCAAAGGAGGGTAAGTTATGGGCCACGCTCTGGGCTGAAAGTCCAGCCGTGAGTTACTCCCATGCCTGAGCCTCAGTTTTCTTATTTGTGAATGGTCAGGGCCCCATGAGGTAAGCATTGGGAAAACTATAAAACATCTATAAAATGCAAAATCCCCTCCCTCAGAGGTCCCAGAAAAGATGACTACCAGCCCAGTGGTTTTCAGTGTAGTGGTGGCCCCAGTCAACTGAATAGGGCCCAGATGCAAGTTATGGCCAGGCAGGAGGGAGAAGCCAAGAGACGGGGAGAGGCCATGAGCCAGGGAGAAGCTGAGCAGACTGCATGGGGAAGTCCTGCTTGGTTCAGGGGAGGCAGGAAGAGCCGGGGCCGTTACTTTGCTTCTCTGAACCTCACTTTTCTCCTATGTAAATGGAAAATATTAACTACCACTTCAGGGCTATAGTAAGGATTACATTAAATTACCTGTAGTACCCTTGTCACACTGTAGGCATTTAATCCTGCTACCCAAAGTGTGGGCCAGGGGCCAGCAGCATCAGCATCACTCAGGAGTTGGTTAGTGTCTGCCCAGACCATCTGGATCAGAATCTGCATTTGAACAGGAGCCCAGGGGATCTGTGTGCACATGGATGTTTATACTGTTGTGCTACGTCTTGGTCCTCACGTCTCAACCCCTCTACTTTCTCAACAGAACACAGCTGAACTTCACAGTAGCTATCGACTTCACAGCTTCCAATGGTGAGGCATGGATGGGGGTCGGGGGGCAGGCTCTGAGGGAATCATTAGGAATTGGCCTGGTTTGCTACCTGGGGATGAGAGTTTCCCTACCCAAGAAGCCTAGGCTTGGGTAAAGCCCAGCCAGGATAGCACTGGAGTGAGAGTGTTCGAGGGCAGGGGTTGGTGGAGGGCACGGGAAAACAGATGGGTAGGGAGATCAGAGGAGGCTGAGGATAGCTAGCTGTTCAACAGGTGGGTTAGTAATGAGCAGATGGGAGAGAAAGGGGTAAAAGGAGAGATGGAGAGGTGACTAGGTGGTAATGATGACTAGATGGATAGCCCGATGAACACAGTGGGTAGATGGGCTGCTAAATGAGTATGACAGACCGGACAAGGAGGTGCATGGGTGGGTGTGTGGGTGGACACCTAGACAGATGTGTAAGTTGGAAAAACAGCATGTAGGCAGACAGAATGTGTAGACAGGTAGATAGGCCCATATGAGAACAGGCGAGCGAATGCATGGAATGGATAGGACTGACTGGCTGGCTACGCAGCTGGGTAAAATAGTACGGTTATATACATGGATGGAAAGGTAGGAGAAATGGCAGGTGGACAGGAGGATGGGTAAATGGCTAGACAGCTGGGTAAGAAAATGGAGATGGTGTGGAGGCGAAGGTGCTGGATCCCACATGGCCGACTCCATGATCTGAGTCTCAGGCCCAGCAGCTGGAAAATCATGCCAGGTGCATGTGCCTGCATGCCCCAATTCCTCAGAGAAAAATGGAGAAGGAATTATAGCGTGACCATCCCTACTGTGGGGGTGGTTTCTCTGGCAAGTGCATGTTTTTTTTCTTTATTATTTTAACTTAACTTTATTTATCATTAATATTTTCCAGTTTGATCAGAGAGAAGACAGAGACAGAGAGGGAAAGCAAGTCACCTGGTCTGGCCATGAACCACGGTCGGCCATATGGGAATGTAGCGCCTTTAGCCTCCACTCTACCTGCCGGCCCTGCATGTGCCCTATAGTAGAAACCGTAGGCTTTATGTGTTATTTTTTTTTTCCTTTTTTTTTTTTTTTGGATAGGTTTTTACTATAGGGCACATGCACTCGCCAGAAAGACAGACAGAGGCAGAGAGACAGAAAGCGAGAAATAACTTCCCAGGGGGCAGGCCATACCACAATCTCATCTCCTCCATTCTCCTCTTGGGATCTTGGGCACACATGCACATGGCGTGAGTTTAAGCTACTGGATCCAGGGCTTGAACCACAGTTGGCTACATGGGAGTTCAGCAACATAGCCATTATGCCAACTGCTGGCCCCAAGTAAAAACTATATTAAAAAAAATTTTGAAGGAAGAAAATGGAGAGATGGACATATGAAAATGAATAGAATCAACAATGATACATTGGG